AAAAAACAAACTAAATAAATAAATAAAATATGATGTTAACAAAATATTGTTTTCTTTTTATTATTAGCCTATCCTTCCCATATAATTTTTTTTGTTGCTTTAGTTGTATCTTGTTTTTATTGTTTTATATATCTTTATGCTCTCAACATTTCATCCAACGCACTTACTTATCGGCGTAGGCAAAGGCAATTACTTGCAGCACCATAATTTATATGCAGTTAAATAAAATAAATAGTTGTGGTTTATTGTATAGGTTGACTTACCCTTGCAACATTGCCGTATAAGCAGACCAAATTGAATAATTTATCTGTGTTCGATGTGTCGTGATCCAAGCCATAAACCATCATGACAGCACCCTGGAGAGAAGGTATAATGTCCTAAAGTTAAAATCCATAAATGTATATAAACTACAAACGGCCAACGGGTTTATTTGAAAAAATCTGTTTATATATATGTATATAGTATTTATATAAGAAATATGTAGGATATAGACAGAAAAAAGTTGTAAGCTTAGATATATGTTTGTATGTATATGAGAGATACAGTGTTGTGATTTACGCAGATAGAATATATAGCAGGTATATAGAGAAATATATAAATATGTATGAAAATATAATATATGGTATATAGAAGAAACATATGTAATCTATAAGTAGTGTTTATATGTGTTGTAATGTATTATGCATATATATAACGCGAAATACATAAAACTAACGAAGCATTTAATTTCAAAAACACACTCATACACATACATATGCACACAAAATATTGCGCACGTGATTCATATATATACATATGTATGTGTATGCGTTTGCCATACAAATATGCGCGCTTACATTAATGCTATGCTTTCACAGCGCTGAAAATTGTTGTCAATACGCGAGCTGGCATGAGTGCACCACTGCGTATACGCAACTGACAAATTTATCAGCACTTTTGTTTGTAAAGTAACGCATATGTTTATTATAGTATATACATATATGTATATGCATATAAATGTTGATACATATACAAATATTTATGAACATATATTTTATACTACAATAAAAACAACCACAAAGTGTAGTTATTATGCTGCAGTCGAACTCGAACTCACCTGGCCTTGTGCCTGTGTAGCGAATGTGACCGGTGCATTGCGGCCCGGCACCACAGCTGGCTCCTTCATCAGTCCGGTCGGATGTATGGTGGCGCCCTTCCAATTTTCCGGTGTGGTGGGATGGAATTCCGCTGCGCCAAATGGTGGGAAGGCGGCGCCTGGCCCCAACAGTGGTGGCTCTTTAAATTGACAAAAATTGGTTGGTGTGGATATGAGGCCAACTATTTGCAAATGTGTTTTTGTTGTATTTTTTTGTTGTTATTTATGCATTTTTTTTTTTTTTTTGATTGGTTTATGTAAATTTTTAAGTGATTTTTATTTGGCATAATTTTGTGTTAAATTTAAATGCAAGCAAAAGGCGTTTCAATTTACAGTTAAAAACATACAATTTGTTTATAAATGTTTGTTAATTTATTATTAATTTAATTAAGCGTGCAATAATTGTTTTCCAACAATAGAAAAAAAATATTTACGTTAAATATTCGGTTCATGCAAATTCAATTGTTAATTAAATAAAATTGTTGTTGTTTTACGATAGTCATATATGATTTCATGTTGTTGTTGTTTTTTTGGTTGGCGATTTGCATGTGTGTTATTTGGTTGGATGATTAGGTGTTTTTTTTTTGTATTTTTGTAGTTGTTGTTTTTGTTTAGCGCGTTTGATGCGGGACGCAAATGAACACATTTTCAACAGTTCCAAACAAGAAAACGAGACAATGAAAAATAAGGAAGAAAAGAAAGAGAAAAATAAACAAAAATGCAACATTTAATGATTTTTATTATTAATTAATTAGAGTTTGTTAATATATAATTATGTAATATATATACGAATGTGTATGTAAATAACCATTTTATTATGTACTTATGCAATTTATTGCTGGCACATGCTGTATAATGTTATACAAATGTACATATACATATATATTTACGTATGTGGAGGAAGCAACGTGAATGCCACACTTTGAGAGGTAAGGTGAGCTATAACTGGTTGGGAGGTTGAGAAGTGTTCAGCAGCGAGCAATGATATGTTTATCAACTTAAATAGTAGTCTTTAAATACTATAATTCTATATAAAGAGACTTGAAATAAGATTACAGATAAATTAAAAAATTACAAAATAATCAAAAAAAAAAAAATTTA